ATCAAGGAATTTGTGTATCTGTGTGTGTGATTTCTTTGGCTTTCACTCTTATTGCATGATTTTACTTATAGTGAGTGTAAGAATCAATTAAGTTTCTCTCTAGAGCTTTGTTTTTAATTGTTAAGTCATAGTTAGTTCTAAAGTTATATATTTTTGATAAAACTAAGTTCATACAGCCAAAAATGTCTGGTTGAAAGCAGTGTGTTCTGGAGGAATGCATATGGTGTTAGGATTCAAGAGGTCCACAGTTTCAGTACTGACTCTGCCACTGGCATGTGACAAATTCTTAATCTTTTTTCTTCATTCATAGAATCAGAGTATAATAACAGTTAAGTGCTGTATTCTGCAATGATGCAGCCCACTATGGTTAGTGAATTAATTTACTCTGCTTTAACTATATCAAGTAGTATCAAAATATCACACATTATTTATTATTGAGGGTGCCAAACACTGGGCGCATCTACATGTGATGCTGTGTCACTGTAGTGATACACTGTGGCGACATAGCTCATTGCTACAGCGACTTAGCATCGGCAGGCACAAACCGTGACGCCAAGACTACATTGCTGTAGCTACAAACTACCACGCTATAGCACGTTGCTACAGCAATGCCGCTGTTAAAAATAACCATGTGCCACTAGGCTCAGTGACAGCTATTATTGTGCTGTCATTTAGTACTTCTTAAAGCAAGTACTAAATGATGGCACAGTAACAACTATGCTGTGGGGGGTGGGGGGCACACTTGTATGTAATTTCTTAGCATTTATTTTCTAGATAATAAAATGGTACTAGATGATATAACCTATAATAGAGATAAAATTACTATCCTGAAAATAGGTTCAACCCTTCTGTACTGCCCCATAGAAAAAAAGCTATAAAGTACACAGAGTGGCTTTTCCTTTTTTTAGTTATTATAAAGATTTATTTGTTCTCTGGCTCTAATATCCACTGAAGATTTTCTCTGACAGTATTAACTTCTTAGATCAATAAATTGTGATACTGATCTCAAGAGAAGTCAGTGTCTGCCAACTATCATTGCACTGTTTACCCTTGTTGAGAAGCAGTTGTAACAAATTAAATTGGCTCCTGTCACTGGATGATATACAAGTCATTGCCCATATTTTATGGTACAATTAACTCAGGTTTGTACATCACCCTCTTCTTACAAAAGATCAGATTAAAGGCAGCATTCTATAGCTAGAACAATACCAGTTTATGAGATGAGGTGAATGTCTTTTCATTTATAGAACAGAATCTCTAAGGCTGGAAGATGACTGATGTATTTAAAGAAATGCAGTATTAACAGTGTTCATTTATTGTTGTTCTTGTATATTGCTTTTAAAACAGTGAGTATATTTTATCAGGCTTGACTGTGTTTTACAAAGCCCTTTTTCTCTATTTTGTCAATAAGATTCTGGATTACTTCAAACTGAAATATTTTGACCCTCAGTGTGTTGGAGTCTGAATAGTCTGAAGCACAGTAAATATCAAAATGGTACAGTAAAAGTATGGTGCACTGGACAGCAAAGCTGATCTGATTGGAAAGTAGTATATGAGGCAGCGCATACATTCATCAGCTTCAGTGCAACATGATTTACAGAGTTACTTCTAACCTAGTGAACCTTACATGTGTTTTACAAATGACAGTATATTTCTGCAGTTGATCCAGCAACCTGCTAGTGACAGCGTTTGTTAAGAATCAGACAAAATTCTACAAAATGCAATACGTGGCAGGTGTCATTTGTAAAAAAGATGAAATTCCAACAAAGAAAGATAGGCAGAAGTTGTATATATATATTGTATACTTGTTGAGCTGGAAGGAAAGACTTGCTCTGAACCGTGTTAAGTGTATATGTGGGGATGTTGTATAAAGTATAGTCATGTGGGAGCAATGAAGGGACTGAGGATGGTCAGTAACATAATGCAGATGGTAGTTATACTATCTAAACAACACTGCACTGCAAGTGGCTTGAGTATATGAAGTAGACATGGAATCTTTGGAAATCTTGCACCTAAATTCTAGGAGTGTAGGTTTGTTGCTCTAAGGACATAGGCGGACAAGGTTCTTTGGGTTAATCTGGTATCTTTTACCAAACCAACTCAAATAGTTGGAAGAACTCTGCTTTGGCAAGCTTTTGGGTACAAATACCCTTCGTCTGGCTGAGGAAGTGTTTGCAGATGGTCTGTGCTCTTGCTAAATTCTAAGTCTTTTCTGAGCATATATAGTGACTTTTCATTGGCAAGAGCACCAGCCCCACCCGTTACATGCATATGTATAGTTACACATACACACAATGAAAACATTTAGGTTGCAAAGTCAAGTGCATGAAATTTAGAAAATACCAAAAAGTAACCTTCCTGTGCATACATTATGAGAAGAGATTATACATTGTGGTAAGAGATTCATCCAGTAACTGTGGCAAAGCTAGGAATAGAATCCAAGTGTCAGGTGTTTTCTGGTTAATTCACAAATAAAATCAAGTTCAATCCATATTGCTGATTTCTGTTTGAACAGAATTGGGTCAGGTCATCTCAGATAAGATGTCCTTACCAGATTAATTTCTTAAAGGGATTGTTTATATGTGTGGGGAGCTTTAGGCTCTAAAATATGATTCTGGAAAAAAAATCCCTGTGGCTGGTTTGTCAGCATGGGGTGGGGAAATAGGGAGGGTGTTTATTTTCTGAAATGGTTAGTCTGTCCCTTTAGGAGGGCAAACTGACAGAATATCTCAAAACAATTCCTTTTAACTGCTCAAGAAATCATGCATCTGCATCGGACTCTATTTTCTACTATTGTTAACTCGTATAGCACCATTTTAATTAATTAATTTATATCACCAGAGAAATTGGTACAGTATTTTTACATGGCAAAATTGCAAAGGTTGTTGGCTACTGAGAAATCTGTGAAAAGGCAACTAGACATTCTTGGGGTTGTGTGACCTTACGTAGGAACAGATTTAAAAAACTACACAAGAATTGCATGTCATGCACAATAAAGCTACTCAGCCTGCATGGCCTGATTGAGGCATGCAGGCATGTGCAGTTTGTGGTGCCACAAACCTCTTTGCAGCATCCCAAACCTCACACATTGCACATTAAGCCATGTTTGGCACTGCTAATTTGCAACGCCGGAACAAAATTAGCTACCAGGATTTCCTTGGAGGAAAGAAAAACTCTGAAAAAAAAAGGGGCACAAAGCATGCCAAAGGGCCACAGTTTGCCTCAAGATAGGGGAGCAGGCAGCCCTGGGCAGCTCCACAGCAGAGTCCCAATACTGAGGCATGCAGAGCCCCCGACTCAAGGCACGCTGCACCCCAGCACATGGTGCCTCAGTGTGAGGGCTCCACAGCATTTGTGCTGCTCCTCATCTGGCTGAGGCACAGGGTGCCTCAGCATGGAGGCTACCTGCCGGCTAGTCCCACACTAAGGCACCCAGTGCCCCAGCCAGCCCCCCCTGCAGCACATGGAGCAGTGGGACAATTTATCACAATGCAAAGCGCAGAGGCAAGGGCATGCTCTGCAGCAGAAAGTAGTGACACAGATCTGTGCCACTACTATTTGTGCTGCTGCAAATGCACACCCTTGCTTGTGTGGATGCAGCCTATTTCACAGTTTCTCACAGACTTTGTACTAATCTTGTGCTCAGAAGATTGTGCTAGTTTACAGTTCATTTTCAGGCACAGATTAGACTAGTTGGTCTACAGCCCACCATTGTTGCTGGTATTTTTCTGTTTTAGAGTAGGAGACTTTTAAAAGACCTCCTCATTTTTCAGCTCCCTTTGAATTTGATCTACACGGGCCCAATTCTGATGACTTCAGGGCATGTTGCCAGTGATACAGCCAGTGATATATATTTATTTAATCAGGCCTCTAAGGAATGGGAGACTGATCAAGGGAGGTTCTTTGCTTTGCTCAGGGAATTGTTATTGTTATTACACTATATCAGTTTACCTTGATTATTGTATCTGTCAACATAGTACTGTTCACCTACAGAGTGAAAGTCAGGTCAGTGGAGTGAAACTGATGTCCACCAATTATGTAACTGGGCACATTGCATAAGTTAAATAAATAATCATTTGCAGCACGGTAAGATTGCATGCAAAGCAAATGCAATTTTGGATACCAGTGCTCACATGCCTATTATGCTGTCCGTTTCATTATTTCCCCTAGTTTTTGGTTTATAAGCTTTCAATAATTTCAATTCCACTGAGTGGCTGTGTTCTGAGAAGTTCTCTCCAGAACTTCTTATTTTATATTGTTTGTATTCCTCTCCCCCACCCCTGTTTGTGCGTTTGTTCTCTTATTGTTGTAACCTTTCCAGACAAGTTTTCTCTAGATATCTTTCAAACTTTACTGCTTTTCCAGAATGTCCCACCTGTAGATATAATTAATATACTAACAGTTAACTAACAACATTGACTAAGGTTGGACCTTATACCAATATCTGGAACATTCTGTTGTACACTTTCTTTACTGGTCCTTCTTACATTTTGTTGCAAGTTTTTTTTTCTTTCATATCCTTGTGCTCATACTTTGGATTCCTTTAAAAAATAATATTGATTCAGATACTTTTTAAAATCTAAGGCACATTGTACCTTAATTTCCATTGCCAACCACGGTTTGTTCTGTACAAAACTACATGTTCATTTTTAATTTTTCCCTGCTGTTCTATTCTAAATAAACACACATGTATTTATTTGTCTTAATAGCTGATTCATTATTTTTGAGAGTTAATTCAAAATATAGAGAAAGAAAGTAACTTATCTATTAAATATAGTGTTCTCTTTGTTACCCAATTAATGAACAGTGCAGTATAGTTTGCAGGTTGTCATCAGGATTTGTATCATGCTTCTTTTCTCTTAGTCTTAACAGATAGAGTGGGGGCTTTTTATTTTCTGGGTGGAAATATTGAAGCAATACAAAAGAGCTGAAATGCAGGACAGTATGTCCACATCCAAAATTTAATTGGAGACGTTAACACTGATGTGTTTTTCTTTCAGAGTGCAGATATGAGTCCTGCTAGTAGTACAACTTCGCTTCCTGTTAGCCCACTTACTGAAGAGCCATTGCCCTTCAAGGTAAAGTTAATTCATTGTATAATAAATATTTGATGTGACTTTTGGCTTTTTATATTACCTATGTGTACAGTTAGGTGCCCTTAATAGCACTTTCCTTTCATTAAATTGCTGAGATATCAGCGAATCTCTTTTTTGTGAGTGAGGAGGTAACATCACGCCACACACTTTTGAAGGCATTGTTAAAATGCCTTTTGGTTGGTGAAAGAATTCTTTTTTCCCACTGATAATAGAGGTCAGAGATGTAAAACCTACTTGAAAAACAAAGAATGTTTTGTGATGTGCTCTATGTATTTATGAGGTTTTATGGTGAGTACACATACAGATATGTGTTCCATTTTTCTGATAATTCCCTAGATATGTGTTTAGTTTATGTTTCAGTCTAACATAGACATTTGTACACTATTTTGCTAACCTGCCTCTGTTAAATTCTCCTGCCATAAAACTATTTTACACTAGATCCATGGAAAATCACTTACTTGTGACACCAAATATTCAGCATTAATGGTAACTCGCTTGTGAAAAAAGGTAATTTTAGAATGCAGTGGCTCCATAAATGAATTGTTGTACCAAAGAAATTAAATTAGTAGCTTTATGGTAGAAACAGGATACCTGAAATGGCCCTAGTATGAGGTTTACAGCTTCAGATCTGAAACTAAACTCAGCTAAAATATCTCTAAATATACTTGAAGCTGTACATGAGCACCCATATCATGCACCGGAGACAGAGTTCCTTTACAGCCCGTAATAAGTGAGAATGTGTAGTCATACACTTCAGCTCCTGGTGTAGATAGTTTTGAGTAGCCCCTGGGCCATGTAAATGGAATGGTGACTATATGACACCCTCAGTACAAATGATATAATTGTTTTTGGGTGTGGAATTAAATGACAGATGCCAAGGAGTTACAAGAACAGAGGCTTCAGACATCTAGTCTTCTGGGGGCTTGTCTACACTACAGTGGTAGCCTGCCCCTGTTAGCATGAATCTAAACATTTCCTGACCACCTGTGCCCACACCCTTCAAGCCTGGAAGGACATCAGTGAGACTGCTAAGGCACCTAAGGAGTACTTTGAATTCTGTCCAAAGGAATAAATGACTTAAATGTCAACAATCAAGTTTCAAGTCTTGTATCTGATGCAAAAGAGGTTTTCACCGGCAATGCAGCATGCTACAGAAGGGAAGAAA